TGAAAAAGTCTTGTATTGCGCTTTGCTCGTACAGTTTTTTTTTTTTTTTTTTTTTTTTTTTTTGTAACACAAAACAATCTCGGATTGTTATGTCAGAAACTGGAGATGATAGTGGCACGAAAACTCAACTGGGGAAGCAAGTGATGATATTTTTCGCGAAATTCAAAAAGTCGGACGAGTACATGCGCGTGACGCTAACAAGCGAGGATAATGTGCAGCGCGGTGGCCGTTAAATAATGTAAAGTCTGAATACACCTCCGTCCGTTTTGCTCTGTCCGGCACGTGTGTGCGCACAACACACATTTGACGCGATGATGACCGATGCCTGGCGCATCCCTCTGTCAGCACGCGTTGTCGTTTTCATCGATAATTGACGACACAGAGAAAACGCGCAACGAACGGAAATTGAAATCAACAGCGACAAAAACAGAAACGTTTTGACAACCACACATCATCTCCGCAACGGCGTCGAGATGTTTGTTTGTTTGTTAACAAACTCGAAGCGTAAGCAGAGAAATTTTCACACCGATAAAAAGAAAGTGTTTCAAACATTTGATAAACTTTTATTAGTTTGTTGCGAATGTGTGTTTTTTGTTTTCTTGTTTAAGAAGATAATGCCAGCGATCTCTCGAGTATCATTAGAAAGAGAAGCATGTTATATCGCGACCGTATGGAGAGATTATGGAGCGTAGCCTAGTTTCTCCGAGTTTCTTTGGCAGGTTTTAAAGAAATAACCGAGTTAAAGATCGCGCGTGTGTGTTTTCTGCTGCGAAGTTGGTTTCTCACATTTTATTTAAAAAAAATCACTTTTCTGCTAACGTAATTGTTTACAATATCTCAGAATTAAAGAGAGAGAGAGAGAGAGAGAGAGCGCAACTTCCAGAGAAACCTTGGTGAATCATTAAAGTTCTCTTTAAAGGAAGATATATATGTGTGTAATTCGCGCGCGCACGAGTTCCGCGTAAGCTTCCTGTGTGCTTTACTTTAGGAGAGACAGTAACCGATGCTCCTCGCGTTTGGAAATTCAAGTCGCTTTGATATACGTACGCGCCGATACATCCAATGGCTTCGTAGGGTACGTAAGTACCTTCCGAAGTTCCGTTCGGAACGGCGCGCGGTGGAAAGCCGCTTGAATTATCGGCGTGAAAACGAGTTGCGCCGAACCCCCGGAGCAAAACTATTCCCCGTCGTCACGAGACGGACGATTTAAGTTCCGTAATTAGACGCGAGCTTGTTTGTGCGCGCGCGAAGACGATTATTCACCCCGACGAATCGCCTTTTCGCACGAACAAAACGCCAAGTGACAGAACGACCTTACGCATTTCTTCGCCTAATCGAGTCGATGCGCGCGAGTCGGTACTTCGCGACGTGGAAAAAGCTTCTTACAGTATTTATTGCGCTGTTTAACTACGCGCGCGCACGCGAACTCCTCATTTCTCTTACTTCATTTCGCTTCTCGCCGCGTTATTGTACATCACGCGATGTTGTTCACATCTTCCGATCGCGGTTCAGCGACGTACAAACGATATAATCGAGATCGTGTCGCACGCGACGACAAACGCGCGTTTCAATGCTTAATTAAAATTGAATAAACGGACTCTTTCAACGGACTTCTCAAACGAACGTTTAACGAGAAGACACTTGTTTTGTTTTTTCTTTGAACATTAAACAACACAAAGTATAAACACAATTGTATCTCGGCTACACATCTTCTAAAGACACAGAAATAAAACACTTTGTTACGATATTTTCATCGATCGTCAATATCTTTTTGATCCGATTTGAGAACTACGTCAAATCAGTGCGAGATATCGCACAATGGCGCGCGTGCGAACAATTACACGTTAATGCCATTACCGTTTATCCCGCAATAGGCGTGTGACCTTTCGGGTTTGTGACACGGGAAGTACAAGGTGGTTATCGCGCGGGCTAAAGCTAGAGATGTGGTTATCGCGCTTATTTATTTTTAGCCCGACGACCGCGCTCGTAATGTTGCGGCATCGGTTTTAACGAAGTTATACTATAGCTTCGGACGATCATTCTTTCTCCCCCTCACGGAAAACGTGACGTGCGTATATTCTATTTCTTTGTTCTGCTTGATTCGAAGGATCCGCTCCTCATCGAAATGAAACGCCCAGGCCGCCGCGCCTCCCTTCAGAAAATGCGAACGTTCGTCGCACATTCGGAGCACGATCTCTCTCATCGATCATGGGACGACTCGAACGATAGGACAAAACGTGCGCGATCGGACAATATTGTGCCGTAGAAAAAGAACGGCGTAAGTTATATACTCGATTGTATTTTCGTTGCGCATAAAATTCTCATTTTGTGATCATCGAATCACCGTTTTGTTGCACGCAAAGTTGAAACAGAGAGAGAAACAGATAAAGCTTTTGTATTTTAATGTTTGACTCTTTAACGCGCGGAATTCTGAGCTCTCTCTAACTCTCTCGTTATTTGAAAACTTCCGCCGTCGCGCAAATAAATTTCGCGCGTGAAATTAAACGCGGCGGGTAAAAAAAAAAAAAAAATGCGGAGAGTTTTCGCATTTCGAAAAATTCGTCTCTCATTTCGCAAAAGTCTAGTTGCCGTGTGTATAGCGCGTTTACGCGCATGATTTAATATCTATTGATAAAGCGTAATGCGGGATTATACTCGCCGAATTATAGGTCATCGACGTGTAATTATCATTCGACGAAGTTGCATCGTATGTACATTACAGTGAATGCGCGCGAGAGAATTACGAAGTGTGTATATCGGATTTTTCATCGCTGCCACGGGTCAAGTATCATTTCGATGTTTATCACGTTAGTCCGATATATATCGAATAAAATTTATTCAGTAACTCGAAGAGCATAATTGTTTCTCTTTTGCCGTGCCGTGTGAGAGATATTGAGATACTCTCTTTCTCTCTCTCTCTCTCTCTCTCTCATTTTCTCTTGTATTATTTTTAGATTATATATTGGACGCTCTTAATCATTCGTTGTACGCTTCGGTCGCGAGAGAGCTTTGTGTTTTTATATTTTTTTTTTTCATATTGGTAAACAGAGCACTCTGTAAACGAAGTTATAAAACGAGCAATATGTAAAAATCGATTTTTTTACGCTCTGAGATTTATAAAAATAACTGAGAAACATATTGAGATAATAACACAATTGTGACTCGTTAGAACTTTCACGCGTACTTTTTGAGATGAAACCATTCGGTTGCAAATTGTCTCACGTATGTTTCTTCTTTCAATACATTTTTAATCTGCAAATTTTTTTATCTTTGAATCGAATAACTCGAAATTCGTCTTCGCTGACCGAGTACATAATTTCTCGAGACAAGATCAGGTTTACGAATGATAAATCGACGGTGAATTAAGAGAACAATCGCTCGGGCAACATATTTCATCTTCAATTTGGACGCGCGTCCGTTACACATCTGGCCGTGACATTCGAGTTCCGAGTTCCATTTTGGGAGATCAATGCACCGGTCGCATTGTAAAGCGCCAAAATCTTACCGCATGTGTGTTGGGCAACGGGGTTGCACAGAACAATGGCACACCCTCCCGAACGTTCCTCGAAATCCAATTGTGCGCCTGTCATTGGCCGCCTACTGAACGCGCTTCGATCGTCGTGTCGCATTTCCCGAGACTACGTAACATCAAGATATTACACATGAGTGACCGATTCGGAAAATTTATATTCTACATATCTTCCGCGAGAGAGAGAGAGAGAGAGAGAGAGAGAGAGAGAACGAGAATTGAAACGGAAAAACTGCATCTCTGAAACTACACCTCCGACTTTTCTTCTGAAAAAAAAACTACACTTTTGCTTCAGTTTGAATATATTGCGTACTTTCAAAGCGGTAATAATATCTAATTAATTTAATAATTGGATTCCAATATGTGTTGGTATATATTTAACAAATAAAAACACGCGAGAAGACGTGATTTCGTGTCGAAGTAATTAACACGTCAGGACAATATAGCGTTAAGATGTGTTTTTCTTCTCTTTTCTTTACGTAAAACTTCCCAAGCGATTATCTCGTCTCATTATCTCCGATAATGAAAAAAACATTAGAGCAGATTTCACGCCTGTCTTTTAAAGCAAAATTGCGCGACGGGTGCAGCGCGAGACACGACGACGTAACGAAGTGATGATCCAATAAAACGAAAAAACGTCTGTTTCGGAAACAGCTTGAAGAAGTTTATTCCCGAAGCAAAGAAGCGGAAAATTCTCTTTACGACCGAACGCCGTCGCTTTGATATCAACGTGGAGAAAAATGTCGACTTGCGTCTGCGCTACTTTAAAATATGAAAAATGATGTGGCAGCTAAAAAATAATATATTTCGAGTTAGCGTCTCCTTTCTCGGTGATAGAGATTTATGAGTTTATCACAGATGAAAACTCGTTACGCGCCACATCCTTCGCTAATTTAATTACAACTACGTCGATAAAACGCCAGTGTAACTTGCAAATAAATGAAGCGTCTTGTGTCGTAACTCAAAGGACACTTTACGTGAAGAAGAAGACGTCTCTTTTGTGTGTGTGTGTGTGTGTGTGTGTGTGTGTACGGTGCTTAATTTATAGCGCCTCTTATTGCGCAAATGTTTGTTTCTTCGTTATTTACGATAGAAGCTTCTCTCGACGACAGTAATTCATGTCGCTTCGTTCAATTTTACGCGAAACTACACGCACGAATCGCAATGTTTACCTCTCGCAAGAACCCAAGATGAATACCGCGAATGATCGGGAAACGGAAACATCGTCTCCCTCTCTGATGTCGCATTATTAACGAAACGGCACACTGCTGGCTGAAAAGACACAGTTGTGAAATGTACATCGTCGTCACGTATTACGCGATGCATCGAATAATGGAGCCGCTTCGGAACAGCGAAATAAATGACGTCAAAAATAGTTGGATTAGGTGGTTGTTATGTAACCTCGCAATTACACATTTCACATAACAAATATGTAACACAACAGCGTAGAATTGGATCCTTTATTTATGTCATAATATTTTTCAAACACACACACACACACACCGACAGAATTTTTATGTATATGTTCTTTACACAATGCATATATTTTTGTCGCAAATTTCTAAGTACGTTATTTGTCAAAACGGAAAACAACGTGCATTATTAATGCTTGAGGCATCTTCTCAACTTCTCGCAGTACGGATTAATAGTAAACTGCTGCAATATGTTTCAAGTTGCTTCGTGATAAAATTCGAGAGAGAAAGAGAGAGAGAGAGAGAGAGGAAGAGAGAGAGAGAGAGAGAGAGAGAGAGAGAGAGAGATCCATGACTTTGTACAAAATTAAACAAGTACAAATCAACTTTCTCGAGTTTTAAGGCAAGTATGCAAGACCGTCGGAGATAAGAGATCTCGTTGCCGGTCGCCGTCGTACCGTGGAAACGTCACAGGCACGATTAATCATTGAACAGATGACAATCGCAAAGTTATAACGCGAATGAATACATCATAGATGAGAGCGCGCGTTTTCCCAAGTGGCGCAAGTATAACGAAAGATATTCCGTACCTCGGAAATGTTTGTATTTCCAGACACGAAGTGTTACCGTCTCTTCCGTCGGATCCAAGAGAGAGAGAGAGAGAGAGAGAGAGAGAGAGAGAGAGAGAGAGAGAAAAGAATATCATTTGATAAACGATAATAAAAGAGCGCGTACAAATTATTAAGGTAAACATTATTGTACTACACACGTTCTTACATGTATATTTACATAAAACCGAGATAATGTGACTTTCCGTTAAAACTTGCAATCTCTTCGAGCTTCAAGACGCTTAATATAATTTCCGTTCCCGTTTAAGCGTGATCATCGTTTGGATTTCCGCTGTTCTCTCTCAACTGTAGAATACTGTTGCAGATTTATGAGACGTTGGCCGTGAGACTACCCGCTGCAAATGCGCTAATTCAACCAACGAGATTAGTTTCATACTTTGCCACATGTTCTCTATCTCTCTCTCGCGAAAAGCGATACCGCGACGCGAGCCACATTTCACTTTCCGAAAGTTAGCGGCTCTCGAGTTGCCGCGAGCAATTTACGCGTCTTATACGACGAATATTTGCAATTCATATGCGATTCCCTTCTCTCTTTTCTAGTCTCTTTAAAAATTTATATATTTTCTGTCGCGCAACGATTTTACACGTTTTGTTCGAGCGAAATTGTAATTTCGCTTTTGTTGTTTTTCTCTCTCATCAAAAATACGCGCGTCGCCGGATTAGAGCGCTTTAATTGTAATGAGCGAATGCGTCGTATTTACTTCAACTCCTCTAATTAGTCTCTGGTCTCAAATGATCGAAGGTGTGACGTCAACCTCTGAAAGCGCGTACACACACACACACATGGAAATTGAATGTGCGTGCGCAGAACTAATAAAACCGATGCTCTCATGTAAAAGTGAATATGTTTTTGATTTGACCATCTCTCTATATTTATCCATGAAATTGAGCAAAGCTAAAAACGTCAAAGGGATAAGCTTGAAGGCAGATATTAAATTAAGCAGAGCTTGCTTGATGTCTCGCAAGAGAAAAAGATAAGAATCTTTGATCAAAGCTCTTTCGCTTGTGTGTGTGTGTGTGTATATGTGTGTGCGCGCACATCTGGCTCGACGCGGAAAATTTAGATATTTCCACCGCTCGCAATTGCATTTACGCGTGTGTTTGGATAGCAACGCGGAATGAAACCGTGTATGAAAACATATAGTATATAATAAACTCCGCGAGTCACACACACACACACGGGAATCCACGATCATAAAATGCGCAGCTTCGCGCTTATAAACGCGAATATAAGTTTACAAATGTAGTGCTCGTTTAATAATTCACGATGCAGCACAAATTAAACGCGCGCGAGCCGAAGAGTGTGTGCAGAATGTAAAAACCCAACCTAGCGGAGGTAACGAGAAAAATACGACGACTATACACAATGTGTGATTAAATTATTAAATATATAACATCGCTCGATGTAATATATTTTTAATAGATTTTTGTGTACCTTCGGTGTGAGTTAATTAATCGCGCGATAACAATTGGAAAACGTAATTTGTATTATTTATGTATTATTGTTTAAAGCAAAAGGCGCACACTCTGCCATATAACAGTCGAATTAGATTACAATACGTTTGCGGATCCGCAATTTGAGGAGCGTTGAAATATCTAACCTGTTGAGACCGCGCGTGAATTATAATAAAAATCTCGTTGTTGTGGTTGTAAAACAATTGAAAAATGAGATAAATTGAAATGTGAAACAGGAGCAAATTGCGATTAATTCGTCGTCGCTGATTTATTCGTATGATTGTAATTGAGAGAAAGAGAGACGCGAGGAGGGAAGGGTTCGATAGGCCGTTAATCTCGTCGCTCCAATTTTGTATAACGAGCGCCGAGAATATTTCTGATAATTGGCAGACAAAATAAATTGACATAGCAGTATCGATTAGCCAACAACAATTAAATTCCCTTCGTATTTTAGTTTATCTTTCAAATAAATCAAGAAAAAGCCAAAAACCATTCATTTTATATTTGTGCTGTAAGTTAAATCGTAATTTAAAATCATTTTCGCTTTGAATATAATTTCAAATTCCTGTACCTCTGAAGCTATCAACAAATCATTTTGTTCTCTTTAATTATTTCAATTTAATTTATTTTGCGCTACTAATTGCTCCGATGGTCTCTTTTGTAGGTTCATAACTTCATCTGCAATTTCTATGATCACATACCCCAGCACTCGACATCGTTTCGAATTTCTAGGTCGTCGATAATTAGCAGCGGTGCAGAGCAGTGCAGAGTACATTAGCGTTGTCCAACGACCGAGAAAGCCGCGAACGCGAACAACAATGGATGTAGGTTCGGAACAACGACAATGAAAGATGGTGGACAAGGAGGAACTGAATATAACGAAGGCGAAGAACCCGCCGCCGCCGTTGAATCTCAGCGAGGCGATCGAGGACGAAGTACTGAACCAAAAGACTGCTAGAAGTGAGTGGAACATACAAGTTCGCCTTTATACAGAATGCGCTGCGAAGCGTGCGATGATTTAAAGTCACGGCAACCCTTCCCGGACTAAAACGCGAATGTATATAAGAAATGTGGAAGCGAAATTCTCTCCGGTTTTAAGGAAGATTTATGGCAAAGCTCAAAAAACCACTCACGTGTTCGATCAAATAGTGTCTGGGATTTCCGTTTAATCTTTTAACTGATGATGTCGGTTTAATTCAATTTTTTTTTTTTTTTTTTTTCAAATTATTATACAAATCTCTCTCTCATTTTTCTGTGACAAAACACATTTCCGACGATGTATTTATTATCGCGCTGCAGTATTTTTATTACGTTTTTTTAATTATATATATAAAAATGTAAAATATATAAATTTATATAAAATTCTCACTATTTCTTAAGAACGAATAATATTATGCGGAGGTCCGCGTGATCATCTTTTTTTCTACTGAAAATGTACATAAATGAGATTTAAAAAAAAAAACAATTTCTTTGAAGTAATAAAGAAAAAACGCGAAAGAAAGTAGCAATTATACATCTCTCCGTAATTTAAATTTTTATACGTAATAACTTTTAAATACTCTCCATGCAGAACGAAAGAGAGAGAGATAGAGAAAAAAAAAGTTTTCGCAAAGAGTTGCGTAAATTGACGTAAACATTAGAGCTTATTCAATACAAGCACATTGAACATTTAAAATCAACTTTCAATCTAACTTGCTTCTTAATCAAGTCATTCGACTTAATTAACGACGCACCACTTTTCCGCGTTTTATCCGAATTTTTCTTTTCTCCGTCTCGATGGCACGCAATCGATATCCCGCAATAGCTTGAAATTCTACAAAAAAAAAAAAAAATACGAAAAAAAAAACAAACGCGCAGCAGTAACGACAGCACGTGTGCGCAACGACGACGTGACGGTCGGAAGTTAAAATGAAAAGCTCGTAACGAATTAATTGAATCTGTTTTGTTTTTCTTTTCTTCTTGCTCGAAGTTTTTACTGTCGTAAAAAACCAGAGCGCAAAATGATAGAAGAATTAATCCATACGCACACATCCGAGTTACAATAAAAAACGTGACTACTGTGTGTCGAGCAAAACCTAGACGGCCTCACACACCAACAAGTCTGAACAATTAATTAACACGTATCTATACATTTAATCATTCTCTGATTCTTTTGTTTTCGTTTTTTGTATATTATACATATTGTTTATATTTTCTTCTCGTCAGTTCTTAAGAATGATCTTCTCCTACACGAGGCTGTGATAAAGAACGAAGCGGACGCCGTTCGCAAGGTGCTTAAGGAGACCGTCGACGTCGATTCTAGAAACAACGTAAGTCATTATTTCTATTTATATAAGGCGAAATAATCAAGCGTTACGTTCTAAATAATAATTCACATATGTGCGTATTCAGTTTTACACAAATTTGTTTTTAGTATATTTGAAGTTATTTAAAAAAATCTTTCTGTGTGTCGCAAAAAGAAAAAAGTTCGTGATTATTTTGCAATCTGTCTTAGTATGGCCGCGCTCCGATACACTGGGCAGCGTCCAGAGGAAACACGGAGATTATCGAAATACTGATACAAGCCAATTGCGACATTGAGGCGAAGGATAAGGTACGACGACGATTTCTCGCAAATTGTTAGAAATTAAATTGCCGCGCAAATTAGGAGATTAAAAAGCAACGAAAACCAAATTTTTTCAATCAAGAAAAAATCCAAGCTCGTTCTCCTACGGGAGAACTAAATTAAGCGCTAAATGAAATCGGCTAGATTTAGAATTGTATGTATAAAGAAAATGAGAAGAGCCGTTAAGTAGATATTTTATCTGTGTGTCTTGCGCAAAGCGAGACACTTCTTCTTCGGAGAATTTAATCTAACCGACCGGCTTGATGAAATTCCACGTCAAACATTAATTTCCTCGCTGTTCATTTCTCTTTCAAGTATGGAATGCGGCCTTTACACATGGCCGCTCGCCACGGACATCGAGACGCGGTTAAGATGCTGATCAATGCCGGTGCGAACGTATCGGCAATTAATAAGGTATGTTGTAACAATCGTCAACAACAACAATCGTGTCGAGAGTTACTTTAAAATCTGTCGAGCGCGAAACTTGCGCGAAATGTGTTGCATCGATAAACGTTTGCGCGTAGAAGAACTTCGTCGAAACAAAGCGGAGATTTCTTTTCTGTTGCCGGCGAAAATTTTGCGGAACATGTTGCGCGTTAAATCGTACATTTAATTGGGGCGTATCGATCGCAAATGGCCGGGGATAGGAAAGAGAGCGAGAAGGAAATATTGAAATCTCTCTCTCTCTCTCTCTCTCTCTCTCTTTCGCGAGAGAGGGGTAGGGAAAAAAGGCAAAGTAAGTCGGCGGAAAAACCACAACGGAATTGAAATCAATAACGTGTCAATATTGATATTGGCATCGGTTCTAAAACGACGGCGTCGCTCGCGCGCGTTTCGGCGGTGGATTGTGATATTGCGCGCGTGTCGACGCGACTTGTCGATGGAATTAATAGAGGAAAGTAAAGAGAGGAAAGAAGAAGGCGCGGATATAATATCAACAAAGTACGGCACGATGCGAAATGATATTTTTTTTCCAAAATTGAATTACCGGAATAGAATTGAAACGGTTACGTGGCACGCGACGGTGTGATAACATAGAAGAGTTACGAGCTTCGCCACGCAGATGGCAAACTCCCTCGCAGTGAAACGTAAAAAGATCTCTCTGTTTCTCTGGTTAGAAACAATACACCCTCTTAATGTGTGGTGCCCGCGGTGGCAACGCAGGCGTGGTGGAATATCTCACCGAGGTTGTGGAATCGTTAAATGGCGAGGCCATCGACTGCATCGGTGCGACTGCACTTCATCACGCGGCCATCGCCGGTCATCCCGGGGTGATAGCAGCGATCGCCAACATCCCGCAGATCGTGATTGACGCCACGGACAAGGTGAGCGTTAAATGTTCAAGTCAACAAATTAAGATAAGACAGTGATCGACATATCGGAGTGTGCATCAATTCACACATACGCGAACATTCCGAAGAGATTCGACGAAGTAATTTGTACGTAATTCACTCTTCAGAGAATTTTCGCCCACGAGATCCATCTCGAATTTCGCATTGCAACGGGATATTCCGCACTCGGAAATCTGATCTCTTCCCTCCCTCCGCCTTTTCCCACCTCAAGGGATGCCCGTCCATCCGTTCGTCCATTAGTATCGCGGTTGGTCGAATTGCGGCGTGTGAAAGTTCCATCGCGTAACTTACTATAGGTATATACGTTGCGACTACGTTGCCGCGTTGAACTTACGCGCGCGGTTCTCGCTCATAAATTATTAATGTGTTTGTCTCTCTCTCTCTCTCTCTCTCTCTCTCTCTCTCTCTCTCTCGGAAAACGTTTGCATATCTACGTGAATTATACATAATTTTACATTCCATTTTCCGCGAGGATTGTGGTTTAATCGTCCAGATAATAATTCGCGAAACGCGATGTTTTGAGAGTGAAAAAAAACAACACTCCCCATTCCCGCGGCACGCGCGGATGCATTTAACGCGAATGTGGAAACATTCAACGCAATTATAACTGCGCGTTCCGCACATTGCGAATAGAGGATGTAAGACGCGAAAGTGCGCGAGCTTGCTGCGAATAATCGTCGACGTTCCACGCACGGCGGCGATTTCGAGAGAACTTACCTTCGCAAATCCGTCCGATCGGTAGATCGAAACAATATGATTCAACGGCGAGACTGATGTTTAGTCAATAGCAAAAGAACATTCTCAAAATCAGATCACATTCATTTCCAATAAAATTATTTCGCCGAATATGTCACGTTCGCGAGAGATATCCTGGGACACACATTGATGTTCTTCTCTTTGTTCGCAACGACGACAAGCATCTATCTACAATCCGGGATCAGCTTTGACGTGTGATGCTCTCTGGGACATTTCAAGCTGTTTCCCAATATATACGAAATACACAACTCTCCTCGAACATGATTATCCCTGGGACATCGCTCGGAGAGTATCATACTTGATATCAGATCCTCTCTCTCTGTATGTTGTATTTGAATGTAACTGATGCTGAAAGTTTTTTGTGCTTAAAAAAATGTTGAAAATATAGCAACGAGAACATTTCATTTTGAGACGCGCAATTCTCTAAAAACAAACTTTTTATCATAAATTATGCTTTTATTATAAATTATATGGAATTAAACCCCGTCACAATGTGTTAAGTATATACATAGAATTTTTAATTTATTTTTATATTTTTTTTACACGTTTTATGACGCGTGCGTGTTTTGTGTGTGGCGAGTCTTTTTATATCCGCAAAATTTCGCAAACAAGGAAAACGCATCAACAAACCTCCGAGAATAATAGCTCAGCGAATCATATATAAAGCAACGCGCGTATCGATCGCGGAGCACGGGTAAAGTGTATAAAAGGGGGATGTTCATAATTTATCGAATGGGATCAATCGATCGTTTCACTTAACGCGTCGTCGTTAATTGAACGGAACCGTTCGGATTTTCGCGCGTGTGTGCCAGAGTGGCTTTTATCTTCGGCTTTTGAATCTAAAAAAAATTTTTACCAAGAGTAAATAAAAGCCCCATCCCGGTGTAGGTAGGTCAGAACATTTTGTTCTCTCTTTCTCTCTCGTTCCCCTTTCAAGTCAGAAGCTGGAAAGGATCTCTCTTTGTCGCTTGCTGTAACGTGTACGTCACTGTCGACCTTACGTCGGAAAGACAAGCGAAATCCTCGGAGAGATGAAGATCTCCGCGACTGTGAAATTCAACCACGGACTTGAGCACATTATTCGATAAACTTTTGTAAACAAACTTCTCTCTCGTTCTCTTCGATCGCAGTCCTTCATACGCTTTTTCTCGTTTCTTCATTCAATTTATCCCTCTTCGAGTGAGGTCGCGGTCGCGCGTAGAATTTTTATCTACCCGCGTCCGCGCGATATTTGATCGAACGATCATACTTCTTGTCCAACTTTTATTTACTCTTTCAAATCAACGTTCGTTGTTTTCTAACACGTAAGGACGAAACTTTTTTCCTCCCCGACAGCTGTTCCTCATCTCCCGTCACACTTTTCCCGAAGTAAATGTAAAAATGTCTAAAACGACTACTGCGTTCTCCAAATTCGAGAAAAATATTAATTCCTCCCACGACTTTTACGTATAAGCGTTTGTTCAAACAAATAAAATACGTTCTGCCGAGAGAAGAAAAATATAACAGATTAAAATAACAGATTTTTTTACCGCTCACTGCAACATTTTACAATATAATAAAACGTTGCCTAAAATATTTTTGCGCAAATATTACACGGCAAAATATATTTTTCACAAAGCTTTGTGCAATTTCAAACACCGTCTTTATTTTGATCGTGTAAAACGGTGATTAATAAATTTGCACATGTAGTTTATATACGTGCGAATAAAATTTATCGGCAGATCTCGAAAGATTTACGCGCGTGTGTCAAAACATAATAAAAGTTATAATTTATTCTGTGCGGTTTTTACAACTCGATACGTGGGCGCGCGCGCGCGCGCATTAAAGTCGCGTCTGTGAAATACTTTTTTGTTCGATCGACTTCAACTTTCGTAACGGATTTGTTATTTCCAGAAAGGACAGACACCGTTACACTGTGCGTGTACCGAAGGACACTTGGAGGCGGTCGAGGTTCTTATAGGATTAGGCGCCGACGTAGACGCCCAGGATAACGAGGGTAACACCCCGCTTCACGTGGCCACAAGAACGAGACACACGGGCATTGCGCAATTGTTATTGAACGCACGAGCAAACACCGAGCTAATCGACACGGTAAATTGAATTAACACAAACAGATCAACTTCTTTAGCGCGCGAACACACACATAGCCCGAAACCATATTGTTTCACAAAATAATAACGAGCATTTGCGTCTGATTATGCGCGTCGACCGTCCGTCCGCACCCCCGCAGGAGGGTTTCACTCCTCTGCACGTAGCCGCGAGCCAAGGATGTAAAGGGATCCTCGACTCCATGATACAGCACGGAGCTGATCTTAACAAGCAGTGCAAGGTACACGCTATCCCCCAAATATAAACTACCCTTGCTAACAATTCGCTTTCGCGCGCACAGATGCGCATTGAACAGCAACAAAATTGAAAATTAAAAAAAACTAAAAAAATCACACGTAATTTAGTTACGTGTTAATTTTTCTCTAAGAGAACGACATAACTTGCGAACAAATTATATATCGGCGTTTGTTCGATTATCTCCTTACAGAACGGTAACACGCCTCTGCATCTGGCTTGCCAAAACAACGAAGTGGAAACGGTCGAGATATTAATTAACAAAGGTGTCGATCTCAACTGTTTGAATCTGGTATGTGTAAACAGTTGGGGACGGGAGAAGATTGTCAATTTTGATAATTATTATTGAGAATCAAACTTCTGTGTCACAGTACAACGTGGGCAACAGGAACTTGCGGAAATCCGGGAGCAAAGAGGGTGGTTTTCCCTTCACGTAGCAATCGCGAGCGTCTTGTACCGGCTAATTGTAGCAACCGCTCGTCCTATTCCCGCAACTTTCTGTTGTCCACTGTTCGCAAAATTACTTTCGCGACGTGTACGTCGGTAACTGTATAAAATTTAACTTTTTTTTGTTTTTTTTTTTTTTATCGAGAAGAGAGTACCGAAAAGTTCGTAAATTAAATTGCGAAATTCGCACGACTTGTCATCGATTTTTCTTTTAGAGGCTTCAATCGCCCATACATATCGCAGCCGAGATGGGACACACGGATATTTGCGAATTACTTCTCGCGGCTGGCGCAAATATCGAGCAAAAAGAACAGGTAAATATACTGTCGAAAACACATTATACAAAAACGTCACGGAACACGGCACGTATATTGACACACGTATGTCTATATGCAAACCGCGTGCAAAGTGAAAAGACAAAATTAGCGCTATATATAATTCGCGTTATTATTTGACGACATAATTAATTCAATTCCCATTTGCATATTTCAAACGCAATTATCGATGTGTGGTATTACGGTTTAAGCATTCGCATTATTATTTCATAATTGAATGTAAACCCGGCACGAGCGTGCAGTTTACACGCTGCGATATATCGAATCGAATTGACAGATCCGCGTTTTGGTAAAAAAAAAAAAAAATTAAAACACCTCGCGGTTTTCGCAACGCAATGCTCGCTTTTGCAAAAACACTGCGAAGAAAGAAACGAGGCGCTGTAAAAAAGATAAAAAAAAAAAGTGCCGTAAAAAGTTTAATCTCGTTTAATCCCTGCTAGATGTGTGACACACACCGAACTGCTCTTGATTAACTTTTTAGCCGGAAGGTGCACGCGCGCGACACGGGTCGATCCCGCGCGACACGGGTTGCCGACAGAATTGTGACACGTGTCACCGTGGGGAAATTGACTCGCGTTACCTATTTGTAGAAAGCTTTACTCTAATCCTCCTACGTTGCCGCGCGGTTAACACGATAGGGGTTGTTGCCGGGGTCGGTCGTCTATATAAACTCGCGATAACGAAGTTAAATCGAAGTTTCATCCCACGACGTTTCGCAGAGCGGCCGAACGCCACTTTACATCGCGGCGAGGGGCAGTTTCACGGCCATCGTCGACATGATCATCAAAACCGCAAGACTGGATTATCCGATCCCGGTAGGTTACGAAATATGTTGAAAGATTTATTTAGACCCGCGTCTCATTTCTTCTCATTTCGTTCGCTCTCGTTCAATTTTAATATTTTCATCCAAGTTTCATTTCATCAAACGTTCAGTCACGATTCCGATAATAAAGATGATGACATTTCGAAATGTGGTCACGAAACTCTTAGGAGATCTCGAATTCCGACAAGGAAGTTCGGGAATTGACTCCGGCGCGAAGACGATGGCGGGAAGGATCACGGGGTGGCAGCGTCTCAAGCAACAACGGCCGTCTGTCCGAGCAGATGCGGTCCATTCTCTGGAAACTGGCCTACAAGCAATTGGCACCCGGTGACTGGAAGAAGTTGGCTCTCCACTGGGCATTCACCGTCGATCAGATCCGAGCGATCGAGCATCAATACACGGGTAAATCGGCGTCACGTGTGTATTGACAGTTTTCTCATTCATATATCAGCTGTTTTCTCTTTCGACAAGTATTTTGGTTAATTAATAAATAATTAGATTTTACATCGCAATTTTCAAAAGCAGATACAAAATCGAATAGAAATCGCGTTTGCGTGTCTTGAGTGTTTTTTTTTCATCGAGGTACAAAAAGTAAAACTAGTCGTCTAACGTATAAAAAAAAAAAAAAAAAAAAAAAAAAACGAAGATAACGCGAAATGACTGTCGTTACAATTAATCCTGGGCTTATAGATGTGATTTGTACCTCGATGTTCCTATAGTGCGACTAGAGCAGCTTTATGAAAAGGACGATAAAGCTCCAATTATAGGTCCTTCAAGCTACAAAGAGCACGGATTTCGAATGCTGATGATCTGGGCCACCGGATTAAGTCCCGACGTAGTGCTGGTGAAGGAGCTTTGCGACGCGCTGTCAGCCGTGGACAAAAAAACAATCGCTGGTAACACATTATTACATTAATTACATTGTACGTCAAATTTCTTAAAAATTACGTAAGTCCAATTTAAAAAAAATATTAATAAATTGCGCAAATGATTAATTAATGGTGTTTTTGCAAGATTAAAAAAAAACAAAAGCCAAAAAATATATTTCAGATTTAAATTTTTTGTAAAACAATTGTTTTCTCGCGAAGAAAATTTCGTTTGTTCCCTGTCTATTTTGCAGATTCCATTCGGAAGCAGATAGAGCAGGGAAACGACAGCAAAGCGAAATCGAAAGGACAACGATGTCACAAATGCTCCGTCGTATGAAGTGCCAACCGCGTGGCATCCACAAAAACGTAAATCCCATACATACGTACGGAGATATGTTTATGTCGCAATTATATGATGTATATGTCGTAAAAGCTGCTGTTAGAAACTTACCTGTAGCGAGGAAAGTTCTCTGAAGACGTCGGCAAACGCGTAGATTTATGACGGTGATGAAAAGCGCATGTACGCGGTGTGTCGTATAAACGACATCATTTCTATCATTGACATTCAATTCCTCGGAACGCAAACAACGATGTAAATTTATGAAGTTGCATATGTAGGTGATTTGTCATAAACAAAACGTCTTTTCGAGGGAATCAGAGAATTTCGCGATAACATATCGGAATGCACATCAGAGATAAATATGGATATTCGACGAAGATTTATATTTCAAGTTGTGTTGCGCGAAACAAAAATACGAATCTACAAAAGAATCTCTTAGCTTGTATTAAAAACAAACAAGATATTCGAAACGCAGAGCATATATATACATTACAAATAGCGTATATGCAACAGAAAAAAAAAAAAAGAGATACTCGAACATACGTACGAAAACCAAACCGTCCCAAGCTGATCTGAATTTAGGCAATTGTCACGATATTCCGTACTTCTTTTCTTTTATAGAAAAATATCATATCCGTAGAAATTGGGGACAGTACACTTTAACAGAAATCATCAAATAAACAAGCGATGCAATTGTAAAATCAAAGTAACAATCGAACGTAGAGACTACGAAGTAAAAAGTAAATAATAACAGAGTCTAGAGTAAATAAACGTGTAACATTTTGCAGGGCTTTTGATGTGTGATAAAGTTATAAAATTTTTCGAGATAAAAAGAAAAAAATACATAATAAAATCGATAGAGCGACTATAGCACGGTTCTCGAGAGACAATCCACATATCTAAATAATTAACATATCTAGATATCTACCCTTACGAGTGATACGTGACTTTATTTTGTGACTTTATTTTGTGTCGCAATGTGTGTAGTTTGTAATTAAAAAAAAAAAAAAAAATCATTAAGTTTTTGATTGCGTAAAATCGAAATGTCAATCGAAAAAAAAATCAATTTTTTATTACATATATTTAACTTATATAATTTTATAACGTCGAAATAAATATATCATATCACTAAACGATATTTGTAAAGAATGAATAAGAAATACTTTTCGCATTTTCGTTTGCATTTGTTCGCACCCTTCCAATTATTGACGAAGGGTGAGGATCAAGAGAAAAAAAATGTACATACTATAAATAAGTCAATATTCTCTTGCTCGAGAGGATATTTTTGCATTTAAGCACAAAAAAAAAACAAAACAGAACAATTTTAAATAATGTCTCACTTCTGACGCTTAAAAACGGAAATATCCCCTTAACGAAAATCATAAGCTTCCGAAACTGATTACCGAAAGTATGGATTTTTCAACAAATGTGCATATCTCATCTTGATGTAATAAATCTCGTTGTATTCTTAAATAAGTCGCCATCAATTGACTTTATTTCGCACAACCGTTTCACACATATGAAATATCCTCCAATAAAATATAAAAAAATATAAAAAAAAATATCTAAAGACTTTGCATCCGCGGAATATAGAAGTGTCTTCTTCATTATTTTAAATTCTAACTTAACCTTTTCGCTCCGGGACTGGTCCATATATGGACCAGCAAGAAAAGCGAACGTAATAGATGTTTATAAGGTCAATTTAATGCACTAAATTTAGGAAAAAAATCCTGGTTACTTCTTTGACCTTCAAAATTAACTTTGAAGGGGGGGTAGCAGGTTATTATTAACTTTTTCAGCTAAAATGCGAGGTCAATTTTAAAGGAAAAATCCCCGGAGCGAAAAGGTTAATAACTTAACACACTCTGTACATTCGCTAACTTACCTCCGTAAAATTATGATTAAAACTAAAAGCTGAAAAGAAAAATCAGATCAAGAGACACATTTGAAGGATAAAATTGGAAACGGAACAATTGCTCAAATAATTGCTTGTCCAAACGTGTTTTTTTTTTTTTTTTTCTATTAAAATGTGATCGTTTATTATGAATCCATACGAAATACGAATCGCCTCTACGCTATAAAAGAATGCATTTTTTTTTGTCGCTGACGTTTTTGGTTCCGCAATATACGTAACAAAATACGAATGATAATAACGGTACGGTATCAACGCTGGACGTGGAGTTGTTGCAATGCCGTCACAAAAAAATAGAGATCGTACCGTACAACAGATTATTTCGTTAATTTCTTATCTCTTAAAGTTTCTAATTTCAATAATGCGATTACGATTAAACGGTTTTCTTCGTTGTTGTCGCCGCAACCCATCCGACATCATTCTCTTGGGACTCATCGCTCGAAGTACGTGTGTGCCGAAGGACGCAGGTGTGCAAGTTGCAAAATACGAAATCGTATTTCACACAAAACAAGTCCGTTGTACAACTGTCAATATATTTTTATGCACCGCGTATGTAAATCGTACTGTTTTCTTTTTTTTTTTTTTTTTTACAACCCATATACATGCATATAAATACACATTTTCCATACATCTAAGCTATATATACTACACACTTGTCCCCCTTAAATTTTTACACCACTATCGCAATTTCGTTTTAACTACGTTTGGCGTTGGATTTATCTTCTTATATCCATCTTTATAGCCCACATGCTCGATCTTTATTTATTATCATAATTTTTTTTTTTTTTTTTTTTTTGGTGAAAAAACCTCTCTACAAATTATAAGACATACACACAAACTCAGGTCCAAATATATTCTATACAGAATCTGGTTCTCAAATAAGTAATAACACAGATCTGGCCGTTAATTCTACTTTTGGATCGATTTTCGGAATTCATGTTCTGATATAATTTTTCATCGCGTGCGTTTCAATATATTATGCTTATTTACTATTGTCGAACGCGTCGATTATTGAGTACAGCACGTACTCGGATTATCGATTATTGGTAGCATCGGAAATAAGTTTGCGTTATCGAGAGACGATTATTTTCAACGAGACGAGATATACGCTTCTTTAGTTGATGATTTCCCATCTGTTCACGTGCTACAAAAATATTTTAGACACGATTTCCGAAAATCAAGCCAAACCAAAGTTTGTCCGCCCGTTCGTACATATTGCTACTTTTTTTTTTTTTTTTGTGTAGAAAAATAATTTTCTGTTATTCTTCAAACTCAGAAAGCTCAATATGTGATTCTCATTTGGAAAGCATAGAGATAAATTCTTTTCCAAAATTTCTGTACACACGCTTCGGTATTTCTTGAAGCTTTAATTAATAATTGAACAAATATATAGGAATTTGACATATTTCTCTTTCTTGCAAATGCAAATTGTTCTATTCTCATTGATAAAAAGGATGACACAGTCTGAAATTCTTCACGTAATCAAACGTTAGAAGACAATTTGTATTTTTTATGTGTATAAGCGAGATTTTTTTGAAGATTTTCTCTGCACGCGGAGAAAGAAGTTGAGAAAAAGATGATACGTAGAAAAAGATTAATCGAATGATCAAAAAACACATCTCTGTTCGCAATATGTTTAAGCTCTTTTGCTTTATTTTTACCTCAAGTCCATAAGCCTCGCGTCATCCAGTCAGTAAAATGAACAGGACGTCTAGGAAATAAACTTCCTACGACAGAAATTCAGAAAAAGAAAGTATTAGGTTCTAGGTTCTAACGCTGTCATTGCGCGCACGACAATCATAATTGTGAAATAAAAACGCGTGAAGGTACATGAAAAGAAAAAAAAAGAGAGAAACAACAAGTTCACACATCGCGTAAATCAAAAAAATAAAAATTAAGCCCCTCGTAAGAGACCGAAACAAGTAGGACGATGAGTGAGACACTCCTGTTCTGCAATTAACGCTTAGAAACAAAAATTAAATCTAACTTCATCTTCTTCGTATATATAAATAAAAACTCTCTTTCTCTCTATAAATTGTTTTTCATAACGCAACTATCGATGATCTTATCGTTCATCCGATCGTTTCTTATTGCTCCGTAAAACTTAACATACGTTAAAATATGGGGATAAGAACAGTTTCATACGCAGTAGTCTTACTCTCTAACTCCGTTCGCATTCGCATGCTCCCGTCATTTGTAATGCCAAAACCTCGCGGCACACGATGCTCTTCTTCGCGATAGAATGTACAATATAAATCATGCGCGCGAGCGTGATTGCGACAATTCGGATCTTCGAAATCGCGAAAAGTATCGTGTGCCGCGAGCTTAACTCGCGCTTACATTCAACTTCGCCATTGCGATTAACATTAAATGACTTCAATATACACTCGCAGGTTTAATTTACTTCGATTGTTGTAGTTTACACTTTTTTTTTTTTCCATACATCCGTGAGAATCGAACGACGAGAGTTCACGGATGTGTCATCTGCTCCGCTTTCGTGTATCATCCGTTTACGCAGAAACGTACAAAAGTTTATATGCATTTTTTGGAATAACGGAGAACAAATAATTCGCTCCTCTCATAACAATTTTTGTACATTTCCAAACCTATCCACGAATGTGTCAGTGACAAGTCATTGACAAGTTACCTCTCGCGAGTCATTGACAGATGCATCGTGTAAAGTCCACATTTAAACAGTTTATTTATTTTGACATATTTGAATCATCTCTGAAAAATTTTCGTTTTAGTTTTTTTTTTTTTATATATATGTAGTGTAATACATACACAATATATGTCTTAAAAGTTACATAATATAAAAATATACAAAGTCGACAGCAAGTGTAAATCACGTGTCCAATTTTTTTATTTTAAAAAATCTAACAGTTCTGACGATGAAAAATATTATACATGAAAATGTGTAAACTTACTTTACGTACGTGAGAGACGAGAAATATCGAAATGGTCCAATTCAACTTCATCCGCGCGAATTATCGCGATGCTTGTTCTCGCGAGTAACAACCATCAATGAAGTGTCTTAAATGTATTAACTTGACACATCTTGTTTTGCGGCCGCGTCGAAACAAAATTTCTTCTCCAGCCTGATGATCTTTCGCTCCGCGCGTGGTTTCCTTCTTGAAGTTGAAGAAGACTTTGCGACCCCAACGTCTCACGCCGAACATCTCTCTCTCTTCGAATTTCTCAACCGCGGACTTACAAATGTAAACTGGACATCTTTCTTATTTTAAGTATAAACTCTATATTATTATAATAAAGTAAGCATATGTGGTATATATATATATGTGGTATATATATATATATATATATATGTGTGTGTGCCAACAAAGATAAGGACAGAGAGTCCTCGAAGTTGTTACACCAAATGTTATCTTGTTTAGCGACGATAAGGATGATAATTGTTGTTGCTTGATCCCGTGTAACCCCTTTGGGGTCCACCGCTGTAGTCGTTGGTTCCTGGCGCAGCAGGAACGCTTGGTCCATATCCTGTGTAGAATCGCATAAAAGATAGTACTGTATGCCAGGACGTGGCGAGAGGACGTCATCGGAGAGGGTGGCACAGAGCAGCAATGTGGTTCGTGTTATTTTATGACAATAATCCTAAAGACTGATCATGTTCGAAAAGGAGATGAATTTTTCAAATGTGAAAAGAGCGGAGGAAAGATTTTGTTTAAAAAAAAACTGAAAAATATGCGAAAAAAACTGCTGCAACATGTAATTACATAATAAACAGGTAATAAGTAAATAAATAAATAACGAAAGTTGCAAGCAAAATAATTAATAATTAATTTCCGATTTAATCGAGATTTCTTCGATATAAAGATAATTAAATTTTTCTCGACGGATTTTTACATTAGCATTGTTCTTCTCTAACGATACACATATCAGATAAAAAAGAAAAAAGAGAACAAACAAGAGCGAAAGAAAGAAAAGATGAAAGACACGACAAAAAGAAAACAAAAAGTGAAATGACAGAAGTTTATCGGGTGTAATTGTCCGAAGAGCGAGCGATGGTGAAATCAGAAATAGAAAGCAGACGGAAAATAGGATGGAAAATGGGATGTGCGCAGGATCAGAATGAGAGAGGATATACATCTCACCCATGAAACGATCCGGGAGTGGATAGAGGGATGGTAAGTACGTACGGATGGACAGATGGTCGGACTCAGTTTTGCGAAAAGCGTAATTTGCGAACTCCGGAGCAAACGGGCTGTGAACTAATACCGCCGACCTAGATCTCGAAAGGAGGATTCAACGCAACATTTCTTCTGCCGGATCCGAGAGAGATCCGAGCGTTGTCGGCTCTCTCAGGACGAGTTTCGAAAACGCGACGACGAGTTCGTGACTAATTTGCAAAAAAGGGGCGATGGTTGAAGCGGGTCCGAAAAACGGGTCAACTCGTTTGCAACGATTTTACATCCGTTCACGGCGAGGCGTGTAGACACCTATAAAACCGAGAACGTCATCGCGTCGACGATTTTATCGATCCGCTTAACGCTTTCCAACTCTAGACTTCATTTGTATCGAAAAACACGGCGTGTTTTTTTCCTCTCCGAAAAATTATCTCAATCAAAGATTAACTAATTGAAAATGTGTCAAGAAATTATTTTCGAGCGCGAAAAACTTCGAGACAAATTTCGTTTAAAGCGACGATTTCGTTAAAGCTTGCGCGTGCACTATCGATATTTTTATTTAATTAATATAAAAATAGAAATTAAATGCTGTAGAGAAAAATAAAATCAAAAATTATAAATTTCTTCTGTTGTTTTTCTTGATGTGTAACAGACGTCTTTGCAGCACTTGTAACAGAAAAGCGTTAAACGGATATGCATAATTTTTTTCATCTCTTTCAACTATTTAAATAGGATTACACTTTTAATTGCTTAAAACAATTATATAGACATCGATTGCGATTAAATATAACATATGTATATCCATAAAAAAAGTAGGACACACCTTAAGACTTACTACAAAGTTACTACGCTCTAAAGGTTAAATAATAAAATTTTTAATGTTAGCTTAATAATGTGAATCATACAGCTAACGTAAGACGGTGGCTTAGCTAATCTTACTGTGTAAACCGGGCGCACTTACTTCTGATTACTATTTTAACGGATCTTCTTAGTCGGCAATCTTATTACTTGTGCGCGCGCTATCTCGATTGCCGGAAACGAGCTTAAAGTCACCGCTATAAAATTAACAGATCGTAATATATAATTCAAAATTACGAAGATACACCGGCACGAAAGCGCGAAAGAGAGATTTCGCTCGGAAGTGCTGTGCGTCCTCACGTCCGTTCTTTCATTCTCGCATTCTTTCTATCTTTCTCTCTCTCTCTCTCTCTTTCTCACATACACACACACACACACACACTCTCTCTCACGCATTCTCGATCTCTCTCTTTCACCCGTTCGCACTTTCTTAAGAAACTCATCTCTCTCTTTCCCGTCCGTTTTTCTCTCGGTCGCTCGAACGACGACGTCAACGTGTGTATTTTTTAGCGTCTATAGGGATGATAATTCGTGTGTTGGGTCAAGGAGAACCGTTGGGGACCTGGGGCAGCATCTCCGTTGGGAATGAAGATCGAGCTTCCAGTTTCGACAGTTTTAAATTTCGGGATCGGGATAACGTCTGCGACGGATAAAAGGAAAGAAATCGTTAGAACTTGTTTCATGTGTGGGAATGCAGCACTTTTCCTCCGCTCGAGTGCCACTCGTCTCGAGATAAGCACCGAGAGCGAGAGGGTTCGTGCGACGGTCGAGAGAATGAGATGAAAGAAAGGGAACAGCACAGAGGAGAAAGACGGATAAAGGATTTTTGAGTGTTCCTCTCTTTTCGTAAAGACCTTTAACCCTTTAACCGGGTCCTTTCGTAACATGTGTATCACGCTACAAGCTATATGTATACATGTAACTATACGTATACTCTATTACAGTATCTAGTTGTCTATACAAGTCTTATCTAAAATTATTGTTTATAGATTATCGTATAGAGATTATCGAATAGCTTATAGATATAACAAATTTTTAACTAGTATATTATAATGGAGATTTATCTAAATATCATATATATGGATCTTTTTTTTTTTGTGCTGTTTTAGGATGTCGATGCGTTCTCTTTTTTTTTCTTTCTTTTTTTTTTTTTTAGTTAACCCTTTTTCTATATCTATATTATATGTAAATTATATCTACGTATTAATTACGAAACTATGCATATAATACAATAAGTCTACGTGAGAACACACTAAACGCACATTAAAATTATATGGGCGCTAGAAAAATATTCTCTGCCCGGTTAAGGGGTTATTAAGTTTTACCATTATATCTAAGAGATTAAGCATCGATTTTTATATACAAGTGTGTATAAACACGAGACCATGTCAGCACCAAAAGTTACTTGTAAATTTTACACGTCTAGTGCACTTTAAAACTTGCACTTTTTACTTGTTGTGTTGTTTCATAGATTGGTAATTAATTTAAGCAAGTGCTGACATCAGTCTCGGTATCATCTCGAAACTGAGACTACGTCCCGTTGCAACGTGTGAGAAAAACAATTCATTATGAAAGCAGTGATCATATATACTCAGTGCAACAAATGTTATACAATAAAACAAACACGTCTCAGATTCGAGAAAAAAAAAACGTCATAAAACACTGCACGAATTAAAAAGCTTTGTCTCCACCTTTTCCGATACGTTCTGAATATGTTTGCGTCAATAAGAATTCAAAAAAGTTCACCTGAAATCAACATTTTTCAACAGTGGACCACCTCTGTAAATTTTTAATGGCACGCGAGTATACGAAAATCAGTTTATAAATTCTTTGAGTTTTTTTTTTTTTTTAGAAAACAAAAAAAACTCACACGGTTAATCTGAATTAAATTTCTAGAGTTTTCTCTCTCCCATTTGCATGAAAATAGGATATTATCTTACTCTTCTCATTTTGCGTAATCACGTATGCACGACGAAAATCGCAATACGTGACGTAGAAACAAAACAGAAGCGGCAAAAAGAAAGCATAACGTTGAGTCTAGAACGCGCCAATTTGTTCGATCGAAGAAGTCGACTGGTGGACAAGTGTGTCTCATCGCGAGATCAAGATTCTAAGATTCTCTAACTCGTGTAACTTTTTCATCTTCCGCGCACTCGCATGCTCGCTGTTCGCACACACATTCACGCGCAATTTTCTAAAACTAAATAAAAAAAAAAAAAAAACTATTATATATTTCACTCACTGACACTCACACAACATCCAGCGATAAATTTTCGATAATACATATATATATAAAATTCCTGCGTAATTATTGCTTAAAAAAGAAAACGAAGATCTCTGTATTGTGCAGTGTTTTAATCTCGCATAGCAGAAGTAATAATTATTACACATACGATAATCTACGTTAAGTGAAGGGATCAAGAGATTGATTTGATTGATAAGAAGTTGTTTTCATCAATATTATTTTCTATTTAATTCATTTCCTCATATTCTAATTCCACAGCGTGTAATTTTTATGAATAATGATTTTATCTTAATTTTCTCTTGAGGTTGGCCATTACATCATTATATAATATGTATATATATACGTATTTAGAGATTTATATATATATATATATATATATAATATTATATGTTATAATCGTTATTAATATATCTTAAGTATCAATTAATCTGTTAAACCACTAGAAACACCGTTAAGTATATATATTTATATGTATATATGTATTTTATAAGTGTGTGTGTGTAAGATATAATAATAATAATAATAGCAGTAATAATAATAAGAATACTCGTATAGTAAGAATCATGGTATCATAGTAATAATAGTAGTACAAGTAGTAGTAATAGTAGTACTAGTAGTAGTGCTTGCGATCATGAAGGACAATGATTTCTAAGAGTGGGGGGAGGGAGTAAGAGCGTATGATGCATGACGTACTCGTATGATGTATAATAACGTGTGTGTTTGTTTTTTTTTCTTTTTTTTTTTGTATTTTTTTACCGACAAAAAAGTACAAGACAATAACACTCACTTTCCCTGTGAAGTTTATAGTTTATTTATCTGTTTGCGTGTGTAACAACGCGATGAGCGTTGATTCGATTAAAAATTTGTCATTTTTGTTCTTCGTTATTTGTTACGTAAAATACGTCGCGTTTACGAACACAAAACGTATTTCTAAAGTGCGATCATAATTTGGTAACGACTGATTATTGAGATACACATGTTTCTTGCACTTGACAGCAACTGAGAACAGAGTTTTTACACGCTCAAACGGATAAATAAAATATCTCAGACAAAATCATCGCGAGAAAGAAGATAATTTTTTTCTTCGTTTCTCTATTTTGTCGGCAAGCATGTGGTGTGTACGAGAAACAAAAAGGAACGACGAGAAGAAATCAGTTGGATCGATCGATTTCGTCAAAATCTCCTGCCATCCCGCAAGCATCCCGGAAAAACTGACTATCTCTACTACAAAACCACGTCAAGGAGATTAGCTGCAATTCTAAAAAACAACCGAACTCTTCCTATAAAACTCTGTCAATTATTGAAGCAGCAATTCCTGCTCCTTCCTCTAACTTCGACTGATAAAAAATATTCTTATCCCAGGTGCGTTCAATCACTCGGAAGTAATCGAGATCGTTACATGCAAGTGACGTTTGAATTTGATGCTTTCGCAATGTGCTGTAAAAATTTCCGAGAGGAAATTAACACATATCAACGTGGTTTTTTTCCAATTCGAAAACCATACCCGGACCACTTGAATTCGTTTTAACAATTCTTGATCAACGACAGATACCTATACACGTAAAGCCCAAAATTTTACACACGATTTCTCGCTTGATGATTTAATAATTCAACGATTTGTGACAAGAGTACAGAGGAATCTAATCGAACTGACTTCAACCAACTGACTCTGCCAATCTCCCGTAGTTTCTCGCTCTCTTCTCTCTTCAAATCAGAGACGTCACTAAAATTAAACACAACACAGACAAACACTCGATTGTTTTTCTATTTTCTTTTTGCACGCTGGGTCGCGAGTAATTATTGAGTGAGGATGAGCGACAAGTTCGAGGATTCGTCGATTTGGAAATATTGCGCCGAGACACTCGGTCATCACATCTTTGTTTTAACAAGCACTAACGGATTTTACCTACGTGTTTTCATTAATAATGCAAGTTATATTCCCTACATGTGCTATATTTATTGTAATGCGGCTTAAGCTTTCTCTCTTTCTCTCTCTCTCTTTCTCTCTCTGTTTCGCGTGGTCTCTTCACTTAGCAAGTAAACACTAGGTTTTACTCTTATCAAGTTCACATAACAGAACGTTATTTGGCAACTAGTAAACGCGCTTGGCTTGCGCCATTCGAAATCTGGTGACGTTTTTAAAATGTGTATGTGAGCGTCTCTCTCACTGTGTGTCCGTGTGTATACGCGTATATATATATATATCTTTCTGGCTGTTAACGTCACATGCGCATCCTTGCACTCGCTCTTGAAGCAACACAACAACCGCACCGCGTGATAAATCTCTTTTAACTCGACCGTTCTTCCCGCATCATCGCTCATTCCATATCGTTCATTCCCGTGTTAAAAATGGAGTTTTCATTCAGCGAGATTCAATCTCGGTTATCAATCGCTTGATTATTGATCATTCGTCAATCATGCGTTATTCTTTTGCACACGCGCACACACCCCAGTTATTATTTTTAATCGTATATATGTTTCTCACGTCCTCTGTGTATGTGATTTGTTATACAACCATTTAATATAAACTTTCTCCCGTCGTGTTGCTTTCTCTAACGAAATAATTAATAATTACAACGACTTAGATACGCTCTTTTCTTTTCTCTTTACATACTTAAAAATTACGGAATAATTATGATTCTCACGAGAACACAATAGTTGGCATTTGTTGTTTGTTTTCATTAAAAATATCTCTTTTTTTTTTCCCTATTTTAATACTTGTCTCTACGATGGCCTTATATTTCGAGAATTACAAATGTTAATTAATTAATTAATTAATTAATTAATTAGATAATAATCGATATCTTAATTATTGATCCTATATGCGTGTCGGTATTTTCCTCCCGCTCTCGCCGATCCTAAGTGAGGCGGAACGACAGGGCCTCTATGTAACAATTGTGTGTGTAATTTACATTATTATAAAACTCGTTTATTCATTATAGTAAACTTAGTCAAAGTGAGTCATTAATTATGTTTTTTCCTTTCTGAGTTAAAGCAGCACCCGCGTAAGGTACTTTGAGATAATTTAAAATACATTTGTACACAACTTATCCCTTAATCAATAATTACAGCGATTTACCTCTATAACGTCCGAGTTTTATTTTTATTTTTTATCTTTTCGCAGAGATACAACCATCGTCACGATGTTCGACGTCGTTGCACTCCTTCTCGTAAAGATGCTGCAAGACGACCGATATCGTTGACGATTTTAAGACACAGTTTAAGAAGAGTAATATGCTATGTCGTCGATGTAAGTAGGATAATTAGTTTCCGCTTGTTGATCGAGTCAACCAGCACGTAACAACAAAAAATATAACATTCGTACTTCACTAAAAAACGGTAAAAGTAAAATCTCGTTAACACTTTTGTTTCACGTTAAAAATACCGTCTTATAGGAATCGCTTGCATACTCGAGAGCTATATAAATCTTTCTCTGTTAGCTTTACATGTGTAAAAAAAAAAAAAAAATCAAAAACAGAAACCGAAGAAGAGATCAGAACGTAGCACTTTCGGTGTGTACTTTCTATCCGTATTATTTTTTGACGTGAAATTTCAATCTTACTCAGCTAAACGTAATCACAATTTATTTGTTTGTTTGTTATTTTTTTCATACAACTATCTTCCTTAGGCGAAGGTAACGCGTTTCTTAACCAACTTTTTTTATCCTCTGTTTTTTTTTTTTTATCGAGTAAACTAGACCGTAAGACGTTAGAGATAGCCCATTAACTATTAGTAACAATAAATTCGAACAGTCGTTTAATAACCTTACAGCAAACTTTCCTAATTAGGTAACTACTCCGAGGGTGTGATTTAATTAAATTCCCAGTCTTTCCAGAGCGTTTTTTTATATACGTCTATTTATCCCTAACTAACCGAGTCCACGTTTTGTTTGTTTGTTTGTTTTTTTTTTGTTGCACCCGTCCTTTGTCACATACACTCGCTCACGCAACACACCCACGCAACACCGGTCGCACAGGACTTTTCATCAAAGAACAACAATACCGAGCTTGACACTCCAGTTGATTTTTTTTTTTTTTTTTAATTAACAGACACACTCGTTGCGCTAAAAATCTAAACTACGTTTCCATTTATATTTTTATCTGTCTTTCACACGACTCTTGTTATCTCTCGTAACCTCGAGAAGTTACATACGTACTTTATTAGGAGAATATAGCCGTAGTTGTGACGATCGATAACAAATTAGAAATCAATAACAACAGTTACTACGTTTTGTTCTACTCTCTCTTACTTATCTTTCTCTCTCACGATTATAATTCTTTTTCTTCCTCACTCTATCTCGGTTTAAAATGATGCTATTTAACGCGTTAAGTAATAGTTTATTAATTAGTGATAATTAGTAGCGGTACTCTGACACTTCTCTCTATCTCTTAATAAGGTTTTGTTTTCTTTCACTCATTGTTTTTTTCTTTATCCTAAACCCTAAAGCGTCACGGCAATATTTCCAAATCGAAGTCTTAAAGAGAACGCGACTCGTTTGCGTCGTCGGCAAGAATAGAAGAAGCAAAACTATGCAAATCACCCTGGATGGAAAGAAACGCTATAAATCGACAAAGTTGTCCACAAGCGTGCACTTGTAAAACATAAATCACATTTACGCGCTGTCTTTTAAAACCGAGGTGGACGAAGCGTGATCGATTTGAAACATAAAGTTCAAATAAAATAAAAAAAAATAAAAAAAAAAAAGAAAAGCCATGTACAAGGTCGAAACGTTTGCGTATGTACATCAATGAAAATGTGAATTTATTTTAATTTAAAACCTAAAAGATTTTACTCGCTCTACATGGTTTTCTTTTTTTTCCCGTTAGTTAGATGTAAAATACAACTTATTTTACGATATAAATATTTTTATAAATATTGTATATATGTATAAAGTCAGAGAGAAAATTTTAAGAAAAGTCATTAGAAGCGTTACATTTGCGCTGCGTCCAAATAAAAAGCGTAGAGAATCTCTCAATATGATGGTAACAATTTTAAGTGATCGGCAACTTTTTCCGGTTAAACAAAAAACTTTCAAGCGTATTTAGAAACATACAATTTATATATTTGTATTTACAATTTATAAATTGAATTGCTAAATTCGTATATTACAAAAAATGTTTGGACAATTACATAGTTATAAAAATTGTTTTTCTACTTAATCCTTTTTTGTCCGTGTCAACGAAGTGTTGTACAAATTGGGCCAGACGCATATACTTTGCCATGGTGCACTTATATCACTAAATGAAACTGAAATTTAGAAATAAAAATAATTTCGTAATAAAGTATAATAATATTACATGAATTACATATTTTAGATGTAAATAAATATATAAATATTTGTAAAAAAATTTCGAATGTAATGTTTGAAAATCAAAGTTAAAAGATATGGCTAATAAGTGCGTGATAACTTGCATAAAAATTATTTATTAAAATTACTTATTCGCATATTTTTTATGTACACGTGAAAACACAAACTTTTCAATTTTCAACATCTGACTTTAGTCAGATAAAAAAAATTTGAAAAATTATATTCTAAACTTATTGTCGTTGAAAGTTTATTCTTTGTACACGAGTTGCCAATCACTGTGCGAGAATATGGTAGAATAAATGACATCTTTTTATTAAAATATAACATTAGTAATTTTTTGGGACATTCTGCAGCCTCTAATAAAAGAAGTTGTCAGCTACAATATCCTTTTATCAATTTGCGTAATGGACGAGACACGAGTAAAATTTCAGAAAAAGTCAAAAATTAAAAACTCATTTATCGATCAAGCGTATCATCCTGTACACAGACATTCATCTTCATCGAATAAAATTGTCGGAAACATCGTCATCAGCGCTGTCGTATGGCCGCGAGATGTGTTCGAGCCTTATTATAATGTCAGGCTTCGATTATCCCGAGGTTTTTCATCGGGTTTTCAGGAATTCGTCGATTGTACGCTTGTCGTCCCAATCGGCGAGTTTGCTTTCAGACAATTGAAAGAAAACCTACTGACAAACCAGCTCCCGCGACCAACTAGCCGATTCTTCCCATCTACTTGGATTCAAACCTTGCTTCTACAACGATCGAAGAAAAATATTCTTGCGATCAACACATTACCTACTCCAACAATAACAACAACAACAACAACACTTCATTTTTCTGCTCCTACAAACAAAAGTAAAAAGGATAATCTAATCATTTGTGTACGTAATCTATGGTGTAAACCCGCGGCGGGTGTGTGTATGTGTGTGTGTGTGTGTGTATGTATGGAATACGTACATGTCGGATATACGCATGCACGAAAAAGATCGTGCACATACACATAATGTACATACCTTTAAAAAAATATTTATGACCCCTACCGCGATATATACGCATAAATTTTTAAAGGTATACATTTACACGAGCAGACATACGAGTGCGTGTGTACATACACATAAATATCGTAATATACATATATGTATTGTTGGATACATATATATAATGCATCTTTATCATTATAATCATTATATCAGTATGATGTAAGCGACAAAAAATTCATGCTCTCATCCTTTAATCCCCACTCTTTTTTTCCTTCTTAAACTACTTATCGCTGTTTCGTCGCTTTTTTTCTATTCTATCTTTTCCTTTTCCCTATTCTCTTTTTTTCTTTGTTTTCAACTTTTCGATGGTACATTGACCGGCACTGAATCCGCGAGAAAGGGGAAGAAAAGTTCCCCTTCCACGGCTGAAAGAGTACGGCGCACGGAAGGAAAACTTTCTTTCTTATCTTTTATAAACTCGTTTTCCTACTCTTTCTACTACTCCTTCCGTTGTTTTCAGCGATAGTTTTGGTTTTTTATCCTATTCCCTTTTCCATGCATTCAATTCCTCAATTTACTTTTGCTTTGAAAATTATCGATTTCGAGAACTCAATTTTTAGCGAATATTACGAAAAAATTCAAGAGACCATGCGCCTTGGCCTGGAATATGTACATCTCTATGCTATCCGGAGAATGTTCGACTTCAAATCTCGCGTAATCTCTCACTTACAAAAATTTCTCACTTATAAAATTAATGATAAATATTTATTACAATATGTTTTAAGCTCTGATTAATTTTAAAAGATGAGGGAGCCTATCTAAATTTTTATATAATGTAGAACAATGGAAAGAGACCAATTCTTTCTTACATGAAAATACACGTTGCGACTTTATCTTAAATATATATTTAAAAAAAGAAAAAAAAAAGAAAAAAAAAAGGAGTCTGGGAAAATCGACAGAGAATCCCTAGTTGGGGAACATCAAGATCCCGAAATACAACAAGACACATACATTTTCACTTATTAGATGATGCACCCTCGGTCCCTGGATCTCGAAGACGGAGACAGTATTATATTACACATTTTTCATTATATTATACAAATTTTTTTCACGTGTTTATAAATATTATAATATACCTACATCTTTATATAACAAAAACCTTATTCTTATATCCTGTTCTTTAATCTTTATTATAACAAAAACTATGTATTGAATGTCTCGGCTAGATTAGAAGAGATTATTAATTATTGGAAGATTATATATATATATTATATATATATATGTATATATACACATAAAAATTATGTAGTATCAGTCGATATCTTAGAAAAACTTATAACTGCGTACACTTGATGAACACTTAGCTTTCACCAGAAAATGAAGCGTAATATTTCGTTTACGATATCAAAACAAAAAGTCGAACATCCTCTTTCAACGCAGAGAGACATTTTTCAATTTCGTAACACTGGGCGGCGAGACGAAACAGAAAGCGCGCGAGCGTAAAAAGGTCATTTAACAAGTATTATCTTTATTTCGAGATAGGCGTTTATACGCGCCCGCCATTTCATCTTTTTTTTTTTCTTTTTCAGAAAGTCGCATATCGCATATGCAAATCAGCCAAACGCGTATGCGGCACACTCGTGATACTACTTAAACTTACTACCATTATAGATTTTTCTCTCGTTTTTATTTTCTATTTTTAATTCTATTCACGATTATATATCTCGTAAGGGGACACTACCTTACCAATACAATGCTAAAAGTTTTACAAGTATACAGGTCATGTTATTACAGTTAATAATTTCATTTATTATCGTTACAATCATTACCAACTTTACGCGCGTCTATTATCTTATTATTTCACACTAAAATATGATAAAAAGAGTAGATCGATCGATTCTCTCATCGTACCGTGTGCGAGACATTCTAAAGCATCCTATTGACTGTAGGAATTCCATTAAACACTAAAAAACCGAAGTAATCTTTCGGCTCTTCGTGAGTGAAAATAAGTGTGTGTGTGTGTGTGTGTGTGTGTGTGTGTCTGTCTGTCTGTCTGTCTGTCTGTGTGTGTGTGTGTGTGTGTGTGTAGACATATCACGTATATAGAAATACCGTATCAAAAAGAGAAAATAAAATTTATCCCTACTTGTTTTCATTATTTTCTCTTTTGTTAGCGTATCTCGAACAGTGATCTTTCCCTCTCTCTCTCTCTATAATGTGATAATCTGAATAATTTAACAAGAATCATTGCATAGAATTTTTTTCTCGATCACGCGCCCTGTGAGATTCGATGATCAAAATAATTATGTTTTATAGCATTTCATTTGTTCATTTTTTTTTTTTTTTATCCTCTAGCTAACTCGTCCAATTCGCTAATGCACTCGTGGTTTTTGTCAAAAAATCTGATTACTCTCCCGATTACACTTACTTCTTCTTCCGTTCTTGTAATATTAGCTTGTTTCTTGGTGGAACATGTGTAAGAATCGTGAGTAGGTAGGTCTGTGTACGTGTGTGTCTGTGAGTTTTATCCGGCTAATCGAGCATCTGAGCACCGCCTCCTCTTCCTCACTTATAGTCTGTCTTAATAAATCTTTCTCGCCATTTATTTGCTGCTCACTGCGCAAACCTTAACATAAATATATTTTAGAATTTTTCTTATATAACACACTTGTATGTGTTTAAATCCCTACATTTTTTTTCTTTGTCGCGTTACAATATACGTTTAAGACAATGATTACGCTTCCTTCTAGGGTTAAGACTCGCAGGAGAGAAAATCACTTTGTAATTATAATTTAACACCTTAACTGTTTCTATATATATATATATATATGTAAACGTAATTTAGAATATTTCTTTGTGTGTAATAACACATTTGTCCCTTATATATTATATAAATCCGCTGTCCCGTTCAAAATTATTTTTTACTGCCTTACACTCGCGCCCGCATGCGTGTGTGTGTGTGTGTATGTGTGTGTGTACATGTAAGTGTGTGTATATGTGTGTGAGCGATTATCACACTACCTGAGTAAAATATATATATATATATATATATATCTCGACAGTCTCTTCTTTATTATCCTCAGTATCACGCGTCGTCTCAGTAAGAACAAAGCTAACGAAATAATTCGATTTTTATTTAAAGAAATTCTATTGTTCTAATTTTTGAAGAAGTCGTACCGATTGCCCGTGAATTGCCACGTTAGTGGCTCGAAACAAGACGGTTATTGATTTTGACGAAAAGCGCTCTGTGTGGCTTTAAAAAAAAATTATTATGTAAGATATATAACTTTGAGTAACTTATAATCTTAATTTAACGCGAGACGTTGTCGTAGCCGTTTCTTTCTACGAAATACATATATATAAAGTGCTTTTACTCCTCTCACGATGCACAAATGTGAAGATAAAAATGTGAAGATAAGACCGCGCACGAATTATATCTGGGCTTGATACTTGACTTATCGAAAATCGATGCAACTCTACGTGAGACGATATTAATAGAAGTGAATGAAAGATTGTGGATAAACACGTTGAGAGTGATTACGTACTAATCAATGTTGTTAAACATGCAGAGCGATACTAAACTGCTACATCGTTTCTAAATATATTTACATAATAAGCAAAATGTTATATTCGTAAATATAGAGATCGATCTGTGAGAATACCGTTTCAACATTTTTTTTCCGGTCCAATTTCGTTTGACGTAACTCTCGATAATTTTGAAATTAATTTCCCAAAGCCTTCGACAATTTAACATTTATCAAACGATATTGCATTTTCTTTAAATATCCGCGCGTGACAGATTAATTATTTATCACCGAGAAAGTGTTAATTTTATCTTTTTTTTCTTTTTCTTATTTTCATCATTTTTATTATAGTATTTCTTTGCGTCTGCATCTGTAAGTTTCGCGACATTCGTTTTTTTTTATTTTTTTTAACAACACAATTCCGAACGAGAGAGA